CACACACACACACACACCCCATTGGAATAGCCATGTGTCCTGAAATGATCTGATTTTAAAGTTGTGTTTTAAAGAACTAAAATTTTGAGCCTGTTTTATATTTACTACTAAATACCTACAGAGACAATAAAAGAAAAACAGATGTGTTGATTATTATAACCAAAAACTTACTGGTTATGTTGCTTTTTTATTGCCTGTTGAAGGTAAAAGCAGAGCCATATGTCTGTGTTTGTTTGTACTGAAAAATATTTCATGAATCAGAACAGATTTGAATGAAACTCTCAGAAGGTACTGATTGTGTTGGCATCTTCAACTGATTAGAGTCAACCCAATTCATGACCGCCGCCACGAGAACAATCTTAAGAAACACAAAGACAGCTACAAGTCAATACATTTTACAGAAATGAAGCTAACATTTTGTGTGTTAAGACTGATACCCAAATTATTTGCTGAGTGCTAAATGACCCTGTGGCATTTCAGTTCAAAACTTTACCAATAATTATTTGGAATCAATTTTGGGGTTTAAAGGAAACTTCTGCTTAGTTCAAGATGGCTACAATAGCTGGTTTAGATGTACTTCAAGTCGCACGTCTTGGCCCCCCTGCTGTGTGACAAAAATATTGTGGAACTTCCATCTGTTATCCTCTGCCGCATCTTTAGCCCGTTTTTACTCAATCAGAAAAATATGTCCGAAATGACATAATCACAGATCCACTGTCTCATGTCGCATTGAAGAATAAACCAAGCTTAAGCATACACAAAAACACAAATACTTAACTAAAATTTACAGTGGAATTTAGGGTTGAGCAATATTGGCAAAAAAATTAATCACGATTAATTGTGGTATTTAGCCGACAACGATTAATTTGACTATTAATCCCCTGGAATCCCTGGACACCCTTATGTCCTAGTCAAATGACCAATTTAGTGGGAAAGATTTGCTCCTCGTAAAAATCTGTTCTTACAGACCACAGATTGCAGACTTCAGGCTAAACATCAATTTTTAAATTGTGTTGATAGACAAATAAATTACAGAACTTTATTTTTAATGTTCATCTTTTTTGAAGCAAAGAGGAGCATCGAGCAGACTGACTGGAGACATCCCCAGTCAGTCTGCATGGTGGCATTAATTGTATTAAYCGTCAAGTGCCAAAAAATTATCGATTAATGTTTTTCTGACKATTAATTACACAAGATACGATTATGCCCAACCCTAGTGGAATTAGATGAAATTCATTCACAACAGCTAAATGCTAACAGATCATCCAAGATACTGCAAATGGGAATGTCAATTTTGAGGTTCGATCAAAACAGCTACAAGTCCACAATTTATTCACATCTTAAGTCTACAGGTCTGAAATGAAAGGTGGGGCTGATATGCATTCCTTCAATATTTCAGAAAAAATACTATAATTAAACCGACAAATTGAAAATAAATGCTGTAACTTGGCTGCGATTTTTTTCATGAGTAAAGAAAATGGTTGAGACACTTTAACATTTATTGTAGTTCTTGAACAAAAAACTGCAGCTCATACTGAGACATGAAGACAGATGTGGTCTGTATCACAGCACTTGTTAAGAAAATTGATATTCATGTCATCAGTTAAGTCAGGGCGCTCTGACAAAATCTGGTGAAACCCAGCTTTTATTCTCTTAGACCAGTTTACTGAAATCTACTTTAGGCATCATCAATGCTGACAGATCAGGATAGAATGAAAAATAAAATAAAAACAGACTCAATAAACTGTTTTTCTTTCTGAATATAGACAAGAATCTTACCGGGATGGAGACAAAGTTACAGGAAAATATGCCCATTTTCACTTCACTTAATTGGTACTTAAGATGTTGGAACTGTGTAACTGCAAACAAACTGCAACCTTTGCACGATACTCCTCCAAAGAACTTGTAATTTTTTTTGGTCACTATTAATTTAAATTTCCATTTGATTGTCATTTATTCCCTTTTTGTCTTCTCTGTTGTTAAACCCTTTGATATTTCTTGCACGACTCTGTGATTAATTGCCAAAAATTAAATTGTATAAGTTTTTTAAAACTTTGTGAAAAAATCCTGTGACAAGAATGYAAGGTAATGTGATGCACAGGAGGAAATTAAGGCCCTCGTCAATATTGTTCACAATTTTTTTGCAAACACATTTAGTTCTAAATGCAAAATGTATGTATTTTTAACAGTATTCGTTTTATTGCTGAAATTCTGTTACTAATAAATGAGTAAAGCTTTGTTGTTGCAAGCCACAGAGAGCTAGAATTCAATTGACATTTAATGAGCAGTTTGGACCTTTAGTTTCTTTTTTTTTTCTTCTTCTTATCCTATCAAAAGGATGGACTAAAGTCAAGTGCAGCTGCCTTCAAACTGAAAAGTAAATTTATTTTCCCAACAAAAACAGAATCCCACTCTTTGTTTTCTTTATCAGGACAGTATTCTCTCCACTCTGCTTAACTAACAAGAGTGGGGACCCACTGCAGAAAGAAAGCAATCATTGTGATTCATGGCTGCCAATAAAAGCCCATAAAAGACCCAGAAGCGGAAACAAGCCATAGAAGCAGTCTACGACTGTCCGACCGAGGCTGAGATCATGGAGGGAAATATGAGGAGAGCTGCAGCTTCTTCAGTAATCCTCCACATATTAAATAATCTTCCTTTACATTTATGTTTACATCTTCAATCTCCTGGCATTTACAGAATCCCCTGTCTACAGCGCAGCAGACAGAAGTGAGCGGAAAATCCTTTGCAACACATCTGGTCTACAATTTCCTGATGCACAAGCCATCTATAGTGTTTTGATCAAGAATTTCCAGCCCAAATAGCAGCTGATAAAAAGAAAAAAAGATAATATTGTGACTTGTAAAGTTATCAAAAGGCAATAGGTGGGTATAATGGTTTGCCCATATCTGTGTGGGTGTGTTTGTGTGACTATCTCATGAAATATTGGATAAATCTTAATGGACTTTGAAGAAAGTACTTTTTAGATATATCGCTTCTGGGTTCAACTCAACTCAAAATGGCTGCCAAAGCTAACCACCTAAACGTTTATAATTCAGTCCGTTTTTTTTATTTTATTTATTTTTATATTGTGCTAAAATTACATGCAGCTGGAGCTGAAAGTCATCCACAACACATACTCCAAATACTACTGACTGCATGAGAACAATATCTCACGAACCACAGGATGAATCATCGCTCAGACCAACAAACAGAGAAAAGTTTCTAACATATCACTGTGTTTGAAAAGTTAGAAATGTGTAAGAATAAAAAMTATGAACTGAAGCAACAGGAATAAAAAGGGTTAAAGTCTGTGTTCTGGCTTCTCTGCACAGATTGAAATAGCTCTGCCTTCGCTCCTGGAGGGATCAGAGTAAATGAGGTGAGATCTTTTGTCACCATTGTGCCTGTAAGGATATATAAAAAAATACTTCTGCCAATCGAAGTAAAAAACAAAGACTTTTGTCACTTCACCATCCTGTATAAAAAATATTTCTGATACATGATTCCTGAATTTTGTACTTTTCTTTTAGTTCCAGTTCTGATTTGGCAAAAAGGCATTTTTGAACTTACCTGTGTTCATTTGTCTGTCGTATCAGTAAAACATTTTGTGAACTACTCAGAGTTTATTAAAACTTCTGGAGAACAAATATTCAATGTACATCTATAACTTTAGCTAGAACCCAACAATAGTTAAAGCAGCCAATTTACTGATATTAAGATATGTTTTGGTGAGAGTTATCCTGAACCTTTCCTCGGAACACTTACTGCATGAGTTTTGTCTTTTAAACTTTTGACATTTACCACTGGAGCTGACCCTGACTGTTTGTTAGCAAAAMATCTTGTGAACCACTGCAAAGATTTTATTGAAACTCTCARAAAGTAATAAGTGGGTGCGCCTCTAATTGGAGACAACCCAATTCAAGATGGCTGCCACCGCCAACAAAACACGAAAATGGCTCTACGAAATTAAATATTACAGATATTTAGCTAAAATTTAATGTGGTAGTAGCTGAGAGTTATCTACAACACATACTCTGAGCAGTGCACATTGCAGTGTGTCTGTTAACAAAACATGTCATGAACCAGCAGCTGGTATTCATTGGATGTACACCTACGATTAACCTTTAGAGTCAATCCAAACAAAAATAGCTGCCTCACCCAAAAACAAAAACAAAAAAAAAATTAAACAACACGTAAATGATTATGACTTCCTTCATAGTTACAGATTGAGCTTAAGTTTGATGTGGTAGCTGAGAGTCATTCTCAACACAAACTCTAATGGTGCGTTCACACCGAACGCGATTTCAGCRTCAGGAGCAKCAGGTTTACATACAAAGTCTATGGTGGACGCGCTTCAAGCAACGTCGGGAAGTTCTGCGGCGCCTCAAGCGCGATTAGAGCAGCGCGATTTGAATGATCTGAGCGTTCGACGCGCTGAGGCACAAATCGCTGAAGTTAGAAAATCTGAACTTTTGCAGCTCGACGCGCTGCGTCAACCAATCAGAGAGACTCCACTGTGTGACGTAGTGACATATTTCCCGACGGGACAGTTTACTGAATGATGTCCACTAACCTGAAACAGACGGAGAGGAGCTCTTTAGCTGAAATGAGTGCCTGCAGTCGTGTCCTGATCCGCAGCAATGCGTGGCAGCGTCTCATCAGACTGAAAAAATAGTCCTGAAAGCGAGCTGTGAGCCTCTACTCTGAATTATCTGGTGAATTAATTATGAATTAATTATCTGATGAACGTGACATGCCCTTGCTCTGTAAATAAAGCAAAGCCACTTCCTCGTCCGACATTAAACAGAGCCCGACAGAGGAGGGAGGGGCGGGGAGGCTCTGCCGTGCAGCGCTTCAAAAGCTGTCCTGCGTCTGACCTCAAAGTGCACAAGCTTCAAACTTCAGCGTTGGCTGCGATTTTGAAGCTGAAATCGCGTTCGTGCTAACATGTGTCGTGATAACTTCATTTAGAAGATTTGATCAAAATGGTTAGAATTTGGTCTTTTCTTATAACTGTTAGTTAGCTTGAAAGGCGTACAAAGCAGTGAGCAACAAGCATTTCTTTTAGGAATTTAGGCATTTAATTTAAACATGCAGTCCACCATAATTAGGCAATGGCATGAGGAAAAGTTTCAAGACATAAACAAACTGATCAGATTAATCAAGTTAATTTAAAGACCGAGTAAAGTAAATTTTAATATTTGCTTCATTAAACATTATAAATGTCACAATTGCATTGTTGTAAATGAGTACAAAGTCTCACAACTGTAGATACTTTAATTTTGGAGGTATAGATCAATTTGTGTTTAAAGATATGTTTGTTCCAAGATTTTCTGGGCGTGCTTTAAAAGGCGGCTGCGTTTCGTCACGCGGCCACCTTAAACATAACCCCGGCTTAACCCCGCCCCCTACTGCTCCAGCAATATAAAAACTTCTTTGCCTCGGCCGTTGCTGTTCTCTTGCTAATCGCAGATAGCATCAGATAGCAATAGTATAGATATTTTGTTGTTGTTAGCTAGCTAAACAATTCCCATTTCTCTTCAGATAGTTTTACTAACTACCTGGAGACACWGTTGGGATTTATGGACAGTCGTTTGGTGCTGGTTCATGAGGCTCTACCGACCGCCTCCCTCCCGGACTTTCCTCCCGACATCGCTGCCTCTCCTGCACCTGACGGTGGGATAATGCCTCACCCAATAAATGTAGTAAGTTGCTGTTTGTGCTTATATAGTAAATATTCTAAGTGTTGGCTATTTAGTGCATGACTCGTGTTTCGGGGGAAACACCTCCAGCTGACACGCCCCCAGYGTTTTCAGAACAGAGCCAATGATGTTTTTTTTTCATTATTTTTGAGACTTAATTTTATAAAGTAAACAATACTTTTAATCAGTCAAATTTAGATGGGTGATTAATAACTCATATTTCTGTCATGTGAAAAACTCATGACACAACTTTAATTTTACTTTACAGGGTCTTTAACACCAGTTTTACAGTGTCAGACATATTTTTCAAAAGACTGAGATCTAAGATGCAAACATACTGTACATATAACATACATATAATGTATATATGAGTCAACACTGTAGATTATATTAAAAAGGCAAGTCAAACCCCTGCGGCATCATGATGTTAGCTCTCCATGGCAGAGATGTACTGCATACAGACACCAGATCCTGACCTACGATGCAACTTTCCCCTCAAAAGAGCCGCCGCAGCCTCAGGACTAGTTCTTCTCCTTAATGTATCGCGTGATCACCTCAGCCTCTGTGAGAATAATCACTGTGCTATTTCCAGAGCCAAACAAACAGCTTGCCTCGAAGAAAGGCCCAGAGGGGCATCGTGAAGAGAAACAACCTATGGAACGGGATTGTTGCTGCATAATGTATCCAACGAGTTTACGGGAAAAAGACAGATGGATGATGGAAGACTTGAAGGATTTGTCTTTGACACAAAGACACAAGTGGCTGTTAAATCAAAACCCCTAAATACAGTATGATGAGGGGATCTTTGTCAGCACAATGTTCAAACTCAATGAAAAATTAATATACAATTAAAAGAATAGCAATCTCTAAAGAATTGTATATCTCCCAACTAGGCTGCCAGAAACGATTATTTTTATAATCGATTAATCACCTATTATTTTTTTTTCGATTAGTCGACTAATCGGATCATACGTTAATTGAATATAAAACATACAGCTTATCGTGCCAGAATGCAGCTGCTATTATATAACCATGGTTAGATTTTAGYTATATGCTAACTAAAAATAATTGCTGTGGAAGGCAAGTTCTGCTCTGCAGATATTGCATTGTACAGGTTTCTCTTTCATTTTCTTAAAATGATCCCACACTTTTGAGCTCCGTTGTCAGGTAGCCATGATACCAGAGCCTGTCTGTATAATGTCTTGTGACGTCCACGGCCTACCCCAGTTACCACTACTGTGCATGTGTGTGAAGGACAGAAAGGCAGATGTGGCAGTGGAAGGTGTCAAAVCAGTTTGGAGAGAAAAACAAAGTAACAAACAAAAAAAGAAAATGATTAATCGATAATTAAATTAGTCATTGATTATTTTAATAATCGATTACTTGTCGATTAATCGATTAATCGTGGCAGCCCTACTCCCAACACATTTAATACCAAAGTTGACTAAAATCACCTCAAGTTAAGAAATAATAAAGTGAAGTAGTTTAAACTTCAAAAATAACAACAGGTTCAATCTTACATGATATTAAAAGAAGGCATGATCAGAATATGTGTTGCAAAAACCTCTCAGCCACAACCACAACAAACTGTAGTTCAACAAATGTCACTTACTGCTAATATTGTGTTGGATAWAAGAGTGATTAGCTGTGGCGACCAACCGTTTTGAATCGTATTGACTCCTAAAGTCAATCTGATGTAGATGTGCATCCAGTGATTTTGCTCATCCAGATTGATCCAGTGGTCACGAGATATTTTGTTAACATAAAAAAAACAAAGACAAGGGTAAAACGAGAGGACAGTAAACAATGACAGAATAATTAAATGCATAGCAAGCACAAACATTAATAGTCCATATCAATACTGCTGGAAACCATAACTGCAGATTGGCTCATTTACACAAAAGCTGTGATTGATGCAGTAAACTGAAGGAGCAAAAACTTCAGGATTATGCAGCATTACTGATAATGTTCTGACACATCTGTTTTTAATTCTTGGTTTTTCTCTAAGAGTAAATATAACCTTGTCTAGTAAYACTTCCATATAAAATAAAGCTATTTCACAAAAACTTAAAATCAGAACTTTAGATGGCTTTTGGTCACCTCAAATGGATTTCTGATGGACGAAGGCAGTGGTACACCTAGATGCACCTTTGTGCCAGAGGTAGTAACAGAGCCAAAACAGTCAACATGTAAAAAGGTAAGCCGGTTTTGCGGATTAATAATGTGATCAAGTGATGACATATGGTCTGTGTGACCACCCAGCTGCAGARTTACACAAACAGGCTAATTACATAAGGAAGATTGATGATGACGCAAAGCAAAATTGAATTTAATGAAAGAAATTAGTTACCCACAAAGAGAATTGCTAAACTGAGTTATTTTGTCAGGTTTTGAAAATTAAGACATCCACCACACATTCTTCTGATATTCACTAAGTTTTTCTCCACCCCTCTTTTGGTTCTGTGGGAAAAAAATTACCATCTCTACAGGACGTGGTCGGCTCCATCTGTGATTTCTAAACAGCCAGAGGGAGCAAGATGGAATGGTCGCAGTGGTTCCCAACCCTGGTCCTCAGGTACCCCTATCCAGCATGTTTTACTTGTTTCCCTGCTATTCAGCAGGTCTTCAGAAGTTTGTTAATCACTCATGTATTCAAACCAGGTGTGTCAATTCAGGGAAACATCTAAACATGCAGAAAAGAAGTTCTTGAGGACCAGGGTTGAGAATCACTGMTTTAATACATGTTATCTGATTTATTATTTACAAATAAATGGCAAAGAATTGATGGCTTCCAGAGGCAATACTAAAAAACATAAAACTAAGTCAATATTATATTTTGAAAATGTCTCATCAAGCTCAGAGAAGCTCTTGAGGTGTTGGTCAACATTTAAAGCAGTGATTTTTAGATGTTTCCCTGATCTGACACACCTGGTTTGAATGARTGAGTGATTAACAATGTTKGTTTTGTTTGATACAATGCAGCAGACACCCGTCACACAATAAATACGACGTGGTCCACTTCAGCCGAGCTGAGACCTGCTCCATGCCTCTTTTAGTTCCACGCTGCTGGTTTCCTTTCTGAACACGTACATGTGAGCGGGACTGGGCCGGCGACTTAGGCATTTATGCTATTAGGCTAACAAAGTACTAAATGCTAGAGTTGGGTGGTTTTGATATTTTTCCTACAGATATTTTATTATATTATCATATTATAAGACCACAGTATAAGGTATTACCAGGTAGGGCAGCCACAAACAATTATTTTTATAATTGATTAATCACAAATTATTTTTTCGATTAGTCGACTAATCGGATCATACATTAATTGAATATAAAACATACAACTTATCGCGCCAGAATGCAGCTGCTATTACATAACCATGGTTAGATTTTGGCTATATGCTAACTAAAAATAATTGCTTTGGAAGGCAAGTTCTGCCTTGCAGATATTGCATTGTACAGGTTTCTCTTTCATTTTCTTAAAATGATCCCACACTTTTGAGCTCTGTTGCCAGGTAGCCATGATACCAGAGCCTGTCTGTATAATGTCTTGTGACGTCCACGGCCTACCCCAGTTACCACTACTGTGCATGTGTGTCAAGGACAGAAAGGTAGATTTGGCAGTGGAAGGTGTCAAAGCAGTTTGGAGAGAAAAACAAATTAAAGAACAAAAAAAAAAGAAAGAAAACGATTAATCGATTATTAAATTAGTCATCGATTATTTTAATAATCGATTAGTCGTCGATTAATCGACTAATCGTGGCAGCCCTATTACCAGGGCAGGGTGTGGGGTATATGGTCTGGCGTGTCTTGAGTTACTTTCTCCCAATCTCTCCTGACTTCGTTCAACTTTTTCAACTTTTTTATTTTCTTCTTCCTGTAGATTTTTGGCACTTGTCAAAAAACTTTGGGCCTCGGTCAGAAAGGACATTGGGGTTTATATTTTTTCGGCTCAAGAGAAGGATAAGACTGACAGCAGGTTGAGCTGTTTTTATCCATGAAACTACTGTGTCTCCTTCTGCCTGCCGCTTCAACGCGCATCAAGGAGACGGTCATTTTCAGAAAAAAAGTGGCATTTAATATTTATCATGACTCTGGTTTTATTTGGCATACCAGCACAATTTAAAAACTGGTGCATAGTTTGAGTTCTCTGCTATAGGGAAAAATTGAAACAGAGTCTCAGAGAAGGCATCTCTTTCTGGCCAGAGCAAATTAAATAGGTGATGTGACTAGGCTCCAGAGGGTTTACTGTAAGAATTTTTACAATTACCATATTTCAGTACCAAGGTACACCACAATAGCATTGTACCGCACAAGTCTACTAAATACCATAGTACAATATTCTTAATTGATATATGAGAAGTACAGAGTATTCAGAAGTAGTTTTTGAGTTCAAAAATCATACAGAAGTAACTATAAAGAGGGAAACAGGATTTATTGTGTAAATGCTGACTTAGCATACACACAATAAATCCAACAGGCTGAGATTAGATAATATTTTAATATAAAATTATCAATGCATTTTATTATGTTATATGCACTAAACTTACCAAATTACCACAAAAGGAACAACTTACTTTAAAATCAATGATGCAAAAGAAAAATAAAACCACAAAAAATATGGACTCTGACTTTTTAAATCTGACTGAGCGTGACTGTGCATTTCTGGTCATTTCAACTGGAATGTCTTCATTATTTAACAGCACTTAACTTACAAATCCCTCATGAGTATGACCACTTTGCAATTCAAACAGTCCTTTCACAAGACTGGCCCTGTTTAGTTAAAAGTGTGGGGTTACTTTACACTCAGATCATTGATCACGGTTCCCACTCCCCTCCCACTGACACTTGCAAATACATTGACCTTATTCAAGCCCCGAAATCGCACTTTTTGTTGGGTCGACAAAGACGAACGGAGAGGAGCATCGTTCGCAGTCGAGCATCATTTGAATGCACGTCAAACACTCGGCTCTGTTTACTGGACTGGGTACAACGCGAACAATCTCCTTATGGCTGCCATTCTCTGAATAGTTACAACATTTGCTTGTGTCAGACAACCGAGTTCATTCAGTGGATCAACAACGAGACAATGGCCACATTTTACGTGGCTACAAGATTAGGAGCACAATGCAAAGCAGTGTTAAAGCTTCCAAGGCATTCTTGGTGCACTGAATGAACAGAGGCAGGTCTGAAAGCCACAGCTGAGCTTCATACAGTACGTGGTCTGAACCTCACTGTATTGTAGTGTCACAGTGCTCTGAGATGAGTGTGTTGAGTCATGTCGTTAAATCACTGAGCCAATTGTAAAGCAGTCAGACAGGTTTGTGCCTCTAGATAAACACTTTCCAAACAGAAATAAAAAAAACATGGAAACAGAAACTGAATTTGCAGGAATTAGAGATTTAAATTAATGAGAAATGACGGCAAAGTAGCTATCAAATCTCAAAAAATAATGTTATTTGTAATCTTGTGTTACATCACGAGATGTTGTGGTCAGAGTATTTGTTGTGAATGACCCTCAGCTACAGCAACACCAAATGTTAGCACAAAATCAGTAAAACTGACTGAATTATAGTCATGTTTTTTGTGTTTTCTAAGGTCATTTGGCTGTGGTGGCCATCTTGAAATAGGTTGTCTCCAAAAATGTTTCAGTTATACATATACTGTAGCTTTAAATCATTAATGGCAAAGTTTTAAGCTAAGATCTTGTGCAGTCTGATATGTGTTAGCTTTAGCCTCAGCTAACCAAATTTTTTGTAAATACATTAGAATTTAATAAGGTTTGCCCAAAAATAATAAATAAAAAAACACTGTACTGGAAACCAATTTACTTTATTGTTGAATGCATGTTGAAAGTCAGCATGTTCTGTTATTAGTCTAAAGGGGAGACTTGGTGTTGGTTTATAATACTTTCATAACACCATTATCATCACACAAAATATAAGAACTCTATAAAGATGTTAGGCAGGAACCAAAATGTTAACAACTGATGATCAACTCCTTCACCTAGGATCATTGATGGATTTAAAGCACAGTTTGTTCACCACAACAAGCATTTTACATCACTACTCTTCAAACAGAACCAAACTGCAACAAATAGCTTGAATTTTTAAAGCAATGCCATGAAGACCAGTCAAAAATAAATACAATACAATGAAATACGAAATGAACTCTACTTACCCCCCCCCCCCCATATCAGTGTTTTTTTTTGCCTCTAAATAAAACATCATTTGATGCACACTTCATTATAAATTTTTAAAATGTTGAATATTATGTTGTTTTTTTTCCTTCAGGTGTTGCACATGCCTAATATGGATGCTTATTTATGGTCAGAAGAGGGACCAGGACAACACCAGGCAAACCGGCTGTGCAGTCATTCATACCAAAACTACTGCCTAACTTACTGCACATGATGGGAAACACCAAGCACCCTCCCTCCCCCACCACCCCTCTGTGTTGGTCTATACAAGATGGATGGCTGCACGTTCAGACACACAACTCCATCGGAGCAGCTTTAATTGGACATTTAAGACACGTGTCAATGCAATCAGTTTTTAAGGAATATGATGATTAATTTGCGGRCGGATCAACGTGAGGCTGTCTGCAGCTGGCTCTGTGCACGGCCTTGTGGTTCTGCTCTGCAGCCCATCCATCCCTGCTGCAGCTGCAACACAAGCACAGCCTCCTCTTCAGAATCGCAGGACTGCAAAACATCACCCACAATCCCCTCCCTCTCGCTCTGTCTCCCATTCCCTTCCACATAAGTTGCCCGTTATGTGACAAATCTACACCCACACCAAGCCTGGGTGACCCGATCGCAGCGGTTCAAAATGTGTTATTTAGTCAAGCTCCYCAGTTTCCCCTCCCGAGGTGAATTCAGCCCACAGAGGAGTGCCAAAATAGGTGACAAGCAAGCAAGGCGGGTGCACCAGTTGGGAAAATAGAGAAGAAAATAAATCACGCTTACCGCAGAAAATCAGATTAATCCATCGGAGTTTTCAAGCGGAACTTTTAAGTATTTTGTCGGTGGTCTTTTGTTTTCCTCCCCTCTCCTCTCTGTGTGTTTTCTTTTCTTCACACAGAGGCAGAAAAGGCGGAGGGAGACTCGTCCCTGCCGAAACCGGAGCGCCTGTCGCCGCCGTGTGTACGCTACGGATGATGACGGCGGCGGTGGGTGACTCCGTCTGAAACACAACTTCCGGTGACGCTTTCAAAATAAAACAAATGAACTTATCGAACCACATCCACTTGGATTAATATGAATTTTTAATGGTTCAGCTACAAGCATCAGTAAAGTAGTTTTGTTGAGAAATACTCCAAATGAATRAAAATTTAAAAGACAACTCTTCAGTTGTTATGCTAGCTACGCTGTTTTATACTTCCGGTTGTGTCTCGTTGTTTTTGACGCAGTTGTTATTGCGTACAGCTGATGCGGGCCCACGCCGACCCCGAGTTTTGATTGACATTGCTCTYCTCCAATGAGTGTTCAGAATGATCGCTCTCCTCCAATGAGAGTTCAGAAAGTGGGCACCGTTACAGAACCGCCTCCTGCTCTTTCACTTTGGTGAAAAACAAGGCATATTGGGCTAAATGTTTTAAGGATTTAACCCTCTCACTCACATGTAACGCTTTGTTTTTCAACATAAGAGACACAGAGGCACAAAGGCAAGACATGTAAGCATCTGYTTTGGGTTTCATTTAATTTAAGCAACATTCAACAATTTCTGTTGAAGATTTGTGAGTTTGTTCTTTTCACTAAGGGAGTACAGCAGATAAAATAATAATAATAATAATAAGCAACATTCAACAATTTCTGTTGAAGATTTGTGAGTTTGTTCTTTTCACTAAGGGAGTACAGCAGATAAAATA